CAGCCAGCCAGCCAGCCAGCCAGCCAGCCCAGCCAGCCAGCCCAGCCAGCCAGCCAGCCACAGCCACCAGCCAGCCAGCCAGCCAGCCAGCCAGCCAGCAGAGCCAGCCAGCCAGCCAGCCAGCCAGCCAGCCAGCCAGCCAGCCAGCCAGCCAGCCAGCCAGCCAGCCAGCCAGCCAGCCAGCCAGCCAGCCAGCAGCCAGCCAGCCAGCACAGCCAGCCAGCCAGCCAGCCAGCCAGCCAGCCAGCCAGCCAGCCAGCCACCAGCCAGCCAGCCAGCCAGCCAGCCACCAGCCAGCCAGCCCAGCCAGCCAGCCAGCCAGCCAGCCAGCCAGCCAGCCAGCCAGCCAGCCAGCCAGCCAGCCAGCCAGCCAGCCAGCCAGCCAGCCAGCCAGCCCAGCCAGCCAGCCAGCCAGCCAGCCAGCGCCAGCCCAGCCAGCCAGCCAGCCAGCCAGCCAGCCAGCCAGCCAGCCAGCCAGCCAGCCAGCAGCCAGCCAGCCAGCCAGCCAGCCAGCCAGCCCAGCCAGCCAGCCAGCCAGCCAGCCAGCCAGCCAGCCAGCCAGCCAGCGCAGCCAGCCAAGCCAGCCAGCCAGCCAGCCAGCCAGCCAAGCCAGCCAGCCAGCACCAGCCAGCCAGCCAGCCAGCCAGCCAGCCAGCCAGCCAGCCAGCCAGCCAGCCAGCCAGCCAGCCAGCCAGCCAGCCAGCCAGCAGCCAGCCAGCCAGCCCAGCCAGCCAGCCAGCCAGCCAGCCAGCCAGCCAGCCAGCCAGCCAGCCAGCCAGCCAGCCAGCCAGCCAGCCCAGCCAGCCAGCCAGCCAGCCAGCCAGCCAGCCAGCCAGCCAGCCCGCAGCCAGCCAGCCAGCCAGCCAGCCAGCCAGCCAGCCAGCCAGCCAGCCAGCCAGCACCAGCCAGCCAGCCAGCCAGCCAGCCAGCCCAGCACAGCAGCCAGCCAAGCCAGCCAGCCAGCCAGCCAGCCAGCCAGCCAGCCAGCACAGCCAGCCAGCAGCCAGCCAGGAAGCAGACAAGACACAGCCAGAGGCCAGCCAGCCAGCCAGCCAGCCAGCCAGCCAGCCAGCATCCAATGAATGTAATGACGACATGAATGCATGAATCTAGGGAACATATTGAAGAAGGACATGACAGCTGCCTATGCAAGGCAGGTCCAGCACCTCCCCCACCCCTAGACCATGACCCACCTATCAGGTGACATCCTTGAAGAATGAGATGAATGAATAATGCAACATAGAAAGGCATCAAGAACCCTACGACTCACTCATGTATTTACTAACCTATTTACTTTCTCTTAAAATGGAGTGTTAATGCGACAGCATCAGTGAATCCCGTTGTTTTAAGCTATTTGCCTTCTACTGGTGCTACAAATTGAACTGGTCTCCCACATAGGTACTAAGTAGTCACAATTTTGTTAATATGCACACACTGAAATGCACACCCATTCTTTCATATCTAGGTGACTCAAGCCTATTGTGCCAAATTTGAAGGAATGAAAAAAACGATCTATGTTTGGAGCGCTACGCGTGCAAACGTAGATCTACGTTTGGATAGTTTAACCCCTTAATCCTTTGAGGGTCGACAGGCCCTCTCCGAGACTCGTTCTCAGGGTCGGCCAAATTTAAAAAAAAAAATAATTTTTTCTTATGAAAAGATAGAGAATCTTTTCCCGATCATAATGACACCAAAAATATGAAATTTGATGGAAAACTTACGGAATTATGCTCTCGCGAAGTTAGCGGTCTCGGCGATGTTTACGGATCAGCAATTTTGCCCACTTTGAGCCCCATTTTCGGCCAGTTCCACTGTACTAGTCGACAAAAACATGAATATTTCGCTAGAACTCCATTTTTTCTATTGAATGAGGGCAAGAAACCACCCATTTACCAATTTCAACTATCCAGTATAGTGGTCAGAATTTAGCAATTTTGCCAATTTCACACAAATTTCAAAAGATGCCAATTTCCGAATAGGGTTCAGAACAAACAAGAAATACATTCCTGGCACTAAAATGACATTTTCTCTGTTCATTAATCATGTCTCAAGGCCCCTCTTACATTCTTTTGCTTTCCACTTTGAATTTTTATTCTCACAAAAAATAGAAGATTTACTGTTATGCAGACTACTGCATTAGTGTAAAAAATGGTATGAATCATATTGGCGCACTTGCAAAAGAATATTAGACTCACCAGTTGACCTGTATTGGACGCTTGGCATGATTTGTTTACTTTTGAACTTTGGTAAAAATCGAACATTTCTGCTACTTTAAGCTCAATTTCAAGGTACTTTTCATTGTAAAACCAGTCAAAATCATCTCAATTTCTATGATATGCCTTCCATTCTATAAAATGAGACCAAGAAAACTAGAATACAACAATAAATACCATACGAAAATACAGTGCAAAGTCGCTGTTTTATTCCAAAAAAACGGTCAGTTTTTTTTTCTCATTATGTACTGTGTGCTGCAGGATTTTTTTTATACCATGCACACTGACCACATAGACCCATTCTTTCATATGGAGGCCTACCAGCTTTCTCCAACTAGATTTGAGGGCGCTAGAATTTAGGCATACTAGTACGTCAAAAACCCTGGGTCGTAAGCCGTACTAGTACGTCCGAAACCCTCAAAAGGTTAACTGTCGCAACCCTAAATCTTGAGGTGTCTCCTGGTGTCACAAAGTTTCCGAATTTTTTTTTATTTTTTCTTATGAAATGATAGAGAATCTTTTCCCAATTGTAATGACACCAAAAGAACGAAATTTGATGGAAAACTGATGGAATTACATCCTTGCGAAGTTAGCGACCTCGGCGATGTTTACGAATCGGCGATTTCGCCCACTTTGAGCCCTATTTTCGGCTAATTCAATTGTTCCAGTCGACCAAACTCATAGCTATTTCTTTAGAACTCCATTTTTTCTATCGCTTGAGTACAAGAAACTGCCCATTTACCGATTTCAACTACCCAATAATGTGGTCAGAACTTTGCAATTTGGCCAATTTCATGAAAATTAAAACATATGAGTTTCAAAATATGGTCTAGAATGAACAATGCAGACATTCCTGGCTCTAAAATAACATTTTCTCTGTTCATCAGTCACATCTCCAGGCCCCTCTGATATTACTCTTGCTTTCTATTTTTAATTTTTATTCAAAAACTAGAAGATTTACTGTTATGCAGATTACTGTAATATTGTAATAATTGTATAAATAATGTCAACCCATTCAGGATTGCATATTAGAATGGCTACTTGGACATTTATTGGAAAAGGACATCATTTGTTTACTTTTGAACATCGGCAAAAGTCAAACATTTCCCCTACTTTGAGCTCCATTTCCAGGTTCTTTTCATAGTAAAACCAATCAAAATCACATCTACATGTACTATTTCTATAATATGTTTTCCATTCTATCAAATGAGACCAAGAAAACGAGATTACAGTGGACCCTTGCCTTACGAACGCATCGCGTTACGTTAAATCCGCCATTCGAAGCATTTGAATGCAAAAATTTTGCCTTGCCTTACGTGATTCATCCAGGACGCCTCCCACATGTGGCCTCAGCTGCCCCGTGGGTGCCAGTGTTTACAAGCCAGCCAGTGCAGTTGCATCCACACATATATTCGGTACATTTCACCTTATCCCAGTGTTTTTTGTGCTTGTAACTGCAAAATAAGTCGCCATGGGCCCCAAGAAAGCTTCTAGTGCCAACCCTGTGGTAAAAAAGGGTGAGAATTAGTATGGAAATTAAGAAAGATTTTGAAGGGTTTGGGGCTAACCCTGAGAAGCCTATGCCAGTTGTGGAATCCATTGTGCCTACTTCAAAGATTAAGGAAATGTGTGCAAAGTGGGTTGAAGTGCAAACCTTTATGGATGAAAATCACCCTAACACAGCTATTGCAAGCCGTGCTGGTGACTATTACAATGACAATGGGCTGTGGCTTGTACGTTGGATTGCATGCAGCCAGCAGTAACAGCCTGGTTGATCAGGCTCTGATCCACCAGGAGGCCTGGTCACAGACTGGGCTGCGGGGGCGTTGACCCCCGGAACTCTCGCCAGGTAAACTCCAGGTAAACGGGAGGTAGAGAGCTCTATGGACAGATTTGTTGTGCGACAGAGGTCCAGTGACTCTCAAGCTGGTACTAGTGGTATTAAAAGAAGAAGGGAAGTAACCCCGGAAAAGGACTTGCTACCTCAAGTCCTAATGGAAGGGGATTCTCCTTCTAAACAATAACTTTCACACACTCCCCTCCTCCCATCCCATCAATCATCACCAGATCTTCAATAAAGGTAAGTGTCATGTATTCTATTCTTAGTAGAGTAGTAATTGTGCATGTCTCCTTCAGTTTGTGTGTATTAAAATTTATATTTCGTGTGGTAAAATTTTTTTTTTCATACTTTGGGGTGTCTTGCACGGATTAATTTGATTTCCTTCCCTTATTTCTTATGGGGAAAATTAATTCGCCTTACGATAATTTCGGCTTACGATGAGCTCTCAGGAATGGATAAATATTGTAAGGTGGGGGTTCACTGTACAACCATAAATACTATATGAAAATAGACCACAAAGTCCGCATTTTAATTAAAAAAACGGTCGGAGTTTTTCTTTTCTCATGCACTGCATGCTGCAGGATTTTTTTTATATGGTGCACACTGACCACACAGACCTATTCTCTCACATGTGGGCCTACCAGCTTTCTCCTGCTTGATTTGAAGCCGCTAGAATTTATGAGTATATACGTCAAACATGGTGGCTCGTAAGATGTATATATACGACCAAAACAGTCAAAGGGTTAAGGGTTAAAGGGCATAACTTATTCTGTCATTCAGTCTTTGACCAATTCCAGTGGCGGCACTCAACATTTTCTTTGAAAATCAGTTTCTACAGTAGGGTGAGTGATATAATACATTATATAATTTTTACTCAGTCTTGTTCTTCACTTAGACTAAATTCAAAGTGGCTACTATTAATTGCTTTTTTTAAATTCCTCTCTCAGGGAAGCCCAACAAGTTGGTGTTGTGGGTTTTGACTGTGAGTGGGTGCAGGTGAAAGGTTGTCGGCAACCTGTGGCACTCCTCCAGCTAGCCTCATCCTCAGGCTTGTGTGCCCTGGTACGACTCTCACATATGAAACCTAATTTCCCTCACTCTCTCAAAGTAAGTTTTTATCTTGTCACTGATCATTTGCCAGGCAGTCTTTCAATTTTTGAGAATTATTAAATTTTCAGTATCACTTAAAGAATATTAATACTTAAACAAACCTCTTTCTATACTGTACATAATCAATAGAAGCCAACATTATCATTTATCCCTGGTACTCCAGATTTACCTACTATGGCAGCCACAGCATTTCTCAATAATATTAGAAAGTAATGGCAAGTTAGAATTGCCCTATAGTTACTGATTAGTGTATTTAAATTATTACAGTAGTATTAGCAAAGTGAGCAAATATATACTTTGCAGAGTATTGGCATTGCTTGTTTTTATGATATTCTTACCTTCTACAGTATCTCTTTTGTAGAGTAGGTTACAGTACTTCCCCTCGACTTATTGATTCCACAGTTTTTGTATCCAGATATGTTACATGTAAATCCATTATGTCTTGATTTAATCAAGTACAGTGGAACTTCGGCTTACAAGTGCCCCACTATACGAGTTTTTTCAGGATACGAGCAGTTGCTCGGTTGATTTTTTGTTTCTGGATACGAGGAAAAATTTAGGATGTGAGCTTCCCCCTCAAACAACTTTTTCTTAGACCTCCAGATCTTACAAAAATAAAAGTGAATATATAACTGTAGTAATTGTCATGATGTATTATGTAGTTTTTCCTGCTTAAGACTATAACTGCAACAGAAATAATAGTATTTGTGGGTGGTGGTGTTTGTCGATGATTGTGAAGAGAGTGGAGAGTTATGTTGTGGTCCTACTGGGCTGAGGTGGATGGTAGAGGTTCTGGTACTGAAGTTGATGGTTGTACTGGAGTGTGCATAAATTCTGTAATGGCTTTCTGTTCTGTTTTACCCTGCAGTACATTATACAACTGACAGTAAGGCATCAACTGCTGTAGACACCATTTCAGGGTCAATCAGTCAATTAAGTAAGTCAGTCAGTCAAGTCAGTAAGTCAGTTAAGTCAGTAAGTCAGTTAAGTCAGTCAGTCAGTAAGTCAGTCAAGTCAGTAAGTCAGCCAGTCAGATCAGTAAGTCAGTCAGGTCAGTAAGTCAGTTAAGTCAGTCAGTCAGTCATGTCAGTCAGTAAATCAGTCAGTCAAGTCAGTCAGTCATTTAAGTCAGTAAGTCAAGTCAGTCAGTCAAGTCAGTAAGTCAAGTCAGTAAGTCATTCAGTCAGTCAGTCAGTCAAGTCATTCAGTCAGTCAAGTCAGTAAGTCATTCATTCAAGTCAGTAAGTCATTCAGTCAAGTCAGTAAGTCAGTCAGTCAAGTCGTAAGTCGAAAGGGCAGTCAGTCAGTCGTCAGTCTTCAGTCAGTCAAGTCAGTAAGTCATCATTAAGTCAGTAAGTCATTCGGGTCAGTCAGTATCGGTCAGCAAGTCAGTAGTCAGTCAGTCGGGTCAGTAGTCATTCAGCAGTCAGTCAGTCAAGCATTCAGCAGTCAAGTCAGTAAGTCATTATCAGTCAGGTCATTCAGTCAGTCAGTAAGTCAGTAGTCAAGCAGTAAGCAGTCAGTCAGTCAGTAAGGTCTTCAGTCAGTCAAGTCGAAGTCATTCATTCAAGTCGAGTCGATATGGTAAAAAGATCAAACAGTTCCAAACACAGCTAGCTTGTGGGGGAAAGTGGAACGACACCTTTATTCACGAAAGCAGGATGTGGTGTCAGAGGTCAGGGGATGGAGGAATGGCTGGAGGTCTCCCCTCTCACCCACAGCAAGGCAGTCGGGAGGTAGGGAATGGCTGCCACCACTTGTCACATAATGACATTATTTTATTCCTTCTAGAGTATGTATCAGGTTTCTGTGTTAATTATAAAGTTTATTATGTCATATTAGATGAATTGTGATAGATAAATAAGCCGTAGAGTTGATATTAGCAAAATGTTGAAAGTATTTTGTGATGCCTCCTGAGAGCCGGAATGGATTAATTGCATTTCAGTTAATTTAAATGAGGAAAATTGACTCATCATACGAGCAAATCGGGATACGAACAAGGTCACGGAACGGATTAAACTCGTAAGCAGAGGTTCCACTGTATGTGTTAATACTTTGAAATAAAAGTTATTATTTAATGACACTGGGAGAGTAATATCAGCATCATTATGTTTGCTAAGAGAATTGTCATTTTAGTTGAACACAGTTATACTCTTTTTTTTTTTTCTGCCAAGGATATTATTTTTCGAGGTTTGCTATATAATACAGGCCTCCTTCCACATTCGCAAGTTCCACTTTCACGGGCTTCGAACATTCGCGAATTCCCAGTTGCCCAGTCCTATTTAAAATAGTATGTCATTATGTATGTTAGGAATTGTGGCAGTGGCAGAGTTTGTTTGGAGGCAGGACTAGATAGTCCTTCAATATAACACTAATATCAACTCTGCTGCTTATTTATCTATCACAATTGATCTAATAGGACATAATAAACAATATTAATAACAGTAATAACAATATTAATAACAGTAATAACCACTCCTTATTAATATTAATAACAATATTAATAACGAGTGGTATTGTGTTGTTGTTGTTGGGTGTATAAGGGACATAGAGAGCATAAGCCGTACACAGTGGTGGTGAAGGCCAGCAGAGGCGGCGGTGTTTTAAGTAGCTCTATATACCTCCAACAACATTGGAGGAGTTAGGTTCGTGCTGTCCTTTTTCTATCGATTAATAACTTGACTTACTTGCTACACTGTTAATGCTACACTTTATCGCTGGCTGGCGCTATAGCCTTTATTGACTAGTGCTGCTTTAGTATTGTACATATTGTAGAATCACTGAAGAAGGCACATTCTCCCCTCTCTCTTCCTCCTCCACTTTGGTACTCTGCTACAAGTTCTTTCTTAAATTCTATAGTCTTTCTCACCTTTACCACAGGGCTGGCACTAGTACAATATTTTACGATGTTTTCATGTGTTTTATGATTGTTCATGGTTCAGTAGGTTAAGGAAGCAGTATTGTTAGGCTAAGTAAATGCTATTATTATATTTCCCTACAATATATCTGTGCACCAAACATTCGCGATTTTTCAACATTCATGAGGTTCTTGATCCCCTAACCTCGCGAATGTGAAGGGAGACTTGTAACTACAGTTTTAGTCAGCAATATATTGGTTGTTGTACCAGTTTGTTAATAAATTTAATTCAGGATCAGTGTTATTAAGCATATATGAAGCTAGTAAAATTTAAAATGAACAATTATAATAGGACATGAGTCATAATTCTTATAAGACTGATAAATTGATTCTCGAGTAATAGTCATATTTTTTGAATTGCGTTGCAGGAAAATCATACTGTGTGAGGTCATGTTAGAGGGTTTTCTGTATAATATATATACAGTGGTACCCTGAGTTTTGTACAGCTCCCATCTCGAACAATTATGTAAGTGTATTATTGTAAGTGCTTTTGTAAGTGTATTTTTGGGGGCTTTGAAATGGATTAATCTAATTTACATTATTCCTTATGGGAAAAAATTCGTTTGGTAACAGCACTCAAACAGCCTTCTGGAATGAATTATGGCCGAAACTTGGGGTACCACTGTATATATATTTTTTTAACACATTGGTCATCTCCCACCAAGTCAGGGTGACCCAAAAAGAAAGAAAAACCCAAAAAGAAAGAAAAAACTTTATTCATCATTCAACTCTTTCACAATCACTCATACATAATCACTGTCTTTGCAAAGGCACCCAGTTACGACAGTTCAGATGTCCCTCCAAACTGCCAATATTCCAAACCCCTCCTTTAAAGTGCAGGCATTGTACCTCCCATTTCCAGGACTCGAGTCCAGCTGATCGGATTCCCTGAATTCCTTCACAAAATATTACCCTGCTCACACTCCAACAGTTCATCAGGTCCCAAAATCCATTCATCTCCACTCACTCCTATCTAACATGCTCACATACGCTGGAAGTCCAAGCCCCTCAAACACAAAAGCTCCTTTACCCCCTCCCTCCAACCTTTTCAGGGCCAACCCCTACCCTGCCTTCCTTCCCGTACAGATTTATACGCTTTCCAATCATTCTACTTTGTTCCATTCTCTCTAAATGTCCAAACCATCTCAACAGCCCCTCTTCAGCCCTCTGACTAATACTTTTAGTAACTCCACACCTCCTCCTAATTTCCAAACTACATATTCTGTGCATTATATTTACACCACACATTGCCCTTAGACAGGACACCTCCACTGACTCCAGCCACCTCCTCACTGCAGCATTTACAACCCATGCTTCACACCCATATAAGAGTGTTGGTACCACTATACTCTCATGCATTCTCTTCTTTGCCTCCATAGATAATGTTCTTTGTCTCCACTGATACCTCAATGCACCACTCACATTTTTTCCTTCATCTGGTGACAAGTCAACTCCCAAATTTCTGAAAACATTTATTTATTTAATGTCTTTGCAAACAATACATTGAGATTGTGTATATACAATAGTGGGATGCAATGCAAAGAGAGCCTCTATTATGCCTTGGCATTATGGGCCAACTTAACATTATTGGCTTACATTCTACTTAATACTAAGAAATAGTATATCATAGTTGTACAGTAGGAAAGTAATTATTTCATAGTTGTTCAGTAGAATATTAATTATAAATGAATAAAAATTTGTATAATACAAAAATATACGTATTTATATTCTAAAATGCTTTTGTGAAAAACAATGATTCAATTATATTCCTGTCAACAATGGATAAAAGGTTCAATGTGATTGTTTCAGTTATGATGTGGGAGTACATAGGTATGTAAATGTATACTGAGCATTTAGCATTTATTCTAGGGTGATTAAGTGGCTTTTGAGAAGAATCTTAAATTGATTTTCAGACTGGGTTACTTTAATATCTTCTGGTAATGAATTCCATTTTTTGGGGGCCCCTTTTATGTCAAGAGTTTTTACACAGTGTGATGTGGACAGGAGTATATAAAAAAGAAAATCTGTGTCTTGTGTTGTGGTCATGTGTCCTGTTTAGGTTGGTGAGGAAAAGTTTGGT